TCAACTTGGTCACTAGCTTTCCTAGCTCTGCTCACCGGTCTGTTTTCATGAGAACATATAACACCGTCCAATGCTTTTCTTTTCTTTTCTTGACAGATGGTGTTTCTTCATCTTTGATTGTAACTACAGGTTGCTCTGGCAACAAAGATGAATCTGCTGTTGATCCTAAACCAAGTTTCACATTGCTAACTGTATCTCGATTTGCAATTTTATCCTGCAGAAATGCTAAGTTTTCAAAATACTTGCATGTCGACGTTTTACATGCAGCTGCGCCAGATCTCATTTCCCTGTTTCGCCTGTCAAGACATCGTTTCAAATTGTCTTTTAAATACTTCCACTGAAGCTTCAGAAAATCAACTACTGTAGAAAACAAAAAATATGATAATTATTAAAGACAAGCATCAGCATGTGTTAGGGAGAAGGAAACCTTCTGGAAAACCTTTTCAGGCTGTTGCAGGCTGAGTAAATATACTTATTATTATTTATAACTAAACACAACATGTTTTTACTTTTTAAGAATATAGTGTTCACAAAAGGTAAAAACCTGAGCTGCATAACAAAAACAGAAACACAACAAAAACAGTAATATCAGATGGCAACATTGAGTGTATTGGGCCATTTTGTGGAAAATTTAAATAAAAGACCCCCTCCCTTGTTGGAAATCTAGACCACTCAATAGGGGGTGGCCTATATTACATGGAATGGCCCGTTCTATCCGGGACTACAGATGAAGGCACGGCTGTTGACAGTATAATTAATTAATTAAATTGACATAATTAAATAATATAATTAAAATGACAGTATAATTAATCACTATTGACAGTATAAATAATCATATACACAAACTAACCATCTTTGCTAAATTTTTGAGCAATCTGTTCCCATGCAATTTTCTTTCTGTTTGCTTCTTTGTAAACCCTCAACGAGGTGTTCCACAAGCAAGGGCGACTTCTGACTTCCTCTATCAAACCCTCGGCAGCGTATTCCTCGAGAAATGCTTCTTCTCCTGGTTCTCCATCATTATCAACATCTACTGCTTCTTTACCTGACACAGTATCTTCTATCACACTGACACCAACTGCAGTATTATAAATACAAACATATAAAATTAAAATCAACAAACCTTTGAGTTGACTGTCTGAGTCGTGACGAGTTTTAATACATGCCAAAAAGTCAAAAACATTAAATAATTACACCAAATCAGTTCATGTAGAGCTAAGCATTTATTATTAGTCGAATGTCAAACTTCAAAAGGGTCTTAATATACGGTATAAATTTTCACGACATACCTTCACCTGACCAACTACTTGCAGAAATTTGTTGACTTGGTTCTGGTTGATGTATTATGCTTCGGTTGACTTCGGGAAGATTTTCAAGAGCACTGAAGTCTATAGTATAGATATTTCTTTGATCTGTCCCTTTTTTTTGGCTTAATAGCATGGTTTTATGTCCTTCTATACCACATACAATTCTTTTAGCATTGTCAGACATTTTTCTTTTCAAACCACAGCAATGCAGGAAGGTGTCTTCAAGACGCAATCTGATTGGTTGAAATAATTTTCCGCCGCTCGCAAAGCGGGAAAGTAGAACAAAGGTCAACTTTTTTTTGTGCGCTTGAAGGAACTTGGAGGAAACTTTTCCGCCTGCTGACGCATACAAAATTACCATATGCGCATGCGCAGATCAAAATCCGCCTAAAAAATTCCGCCCGCGCGCAAAATTCCACTGACTGGAAACCAGCCTTAAAGCACGCCGCACACGAGCGTACTTGTCGCGCGTACTTGTTATTCGTTACAAGTTGGATCGACAAAATTCCCTCGTGTTTGGGCAACATTTCCGGCATTTTCGGCATTCGTGACATGTAAACCAAATATCAAACATGTTTGATATTTTTCGTCATTCGTGACAAAAAAAATTCTCGAGTGCGGCGAGCAAACGACAAGCGCGCCTGAATAGGAAAATTTGCGCATGCGTGCAACTTGCAGAGTTAAAAACAAGATACGAGCTGGTGATTTTGATCCGCCATGTTGTTTTTAATTCTGCAAGTTGCACGCATGCGCAAATTTTCCTATTCAGGCGCGCTTGTCGTTTGCTCGCCGCACACCAGAATAGTTTTTGTCACGAATGACGAAAAATATCAAACATGCTTGATATTTGGTTTACATGTCACGAATGATGAAAATGCCGTAAATGTTGCCCGCACACGAGGAAATTTTGTCGATCCGTCTGACATTCAACAAAACCAACTGACATTCAACAAAAAATTAACTCAGACTTGAACAGTGTTCATAATTGGCTATTAGCTAACAAACTAACTTTAAGTGCTGAGAAAACAGAATATATGATTGTTGGTTCGAGACAAAGGCTTAATCAAATAAATTCAGATCCTGACATATTAATAGGAGATCATATGATAAAGAGCGTTTCTAACAAAAAAATCCTAGGAGTGGTTCTTGACGAACAACTTAATTGGCATAACCATATAGATAATCAATGCGCAAAAATTTCAAAAAACATTGCACTTTTGAGAAGAGCAAAAAGTTTTCTGACAGAAAATGCCCTTATTACAATGTACAATTCACTAGTCCTACCACATTTCACTTACTGCTCAACAGTTTGGCACAACGGAAATATCACTCACATTGACAAATTAAGTAAATTACAAAAAAGAGCAGCACGTGTTATCACTAACTCAGGGTATGACATAAGATCAACAGAGATCTTAAATAGATTAAATTGGGAGCCCATTGCAACTCGAACAACGTGAACAAACAATGACATTTAAGGCAATTAACAAAATGACACCAAAATATTTAACAGAAATGTTTACTATGTCCCAGAACGACAATTATGCATTGAGAAGTAATGAACGAAAACTTCACTTATCAAAACCAAACACTAACTTCCTTAAGAAAAGTTTTTCCTACCGCGCAGCAGTGTCATGGAATGAACTTCCAAACGAAATTCTCGAGGAACATGAGCATCTTTCATTGAATCAGTTCAAAAGGCTTATTAAAAATTGCGAAGATAGCGAAATTTTCCCGAAATTTTATCGAATGTTTACTTGCATTGTAAGGTCGTTATGCATGTTATACTTCAATTTGAATTAATGTTAGTATGTTATACTTTAGGTTTAGATTTAGTTTTATATCTTTTTAATAGTTTTAGACCACGGCCCTTTGAAAAACAGGCAACTAAAAGGTTACCGTGGATAAATATGTTTAAATAAGAATAATAACAAGTACGCGCGGCAAGTGCGCTCGTGTGCGGCTAGTCTCCTACGCATACCTACATAGCGGACTGAGCCCTCACGTAAGGTATGCTTACTTTGGCCAAGAATTCCTTTCCTCAAAATTAGCCAATCACAGCTTTACGCACGAAAATTGTGGGGCTTGACCTTTGACCTTGAGGCTTGGGTCGTCAAAAGTTTCAAAACATTTAATCTTGAACATTTCATATCTTCATTTGTACGTATTCATATCTTAAACCGATTATCTGCGAGTGCTGAGAGATAGATTTGTTTTACATATACCAGTCTACAAATTTACAATATGGAACAATTGTAAAATCTGTTAGAATTTGTCGAGCTATTGTTTTGAACAGACAGTGTAGTAAAATCGAACAATATCACCTAAAATATATCGCAATGTTTTGATTACTTTACAAGCGTTTGCAGGTTACTGTAACACGGGTAATACACTGGACAAAGACGTCAAGACAAAGTTATAAAGTTACAGTGTACATTACTGCGGATGTAGATAATAGATTTATAAATACTAATTGAAGATTACAGAATTCAGCCTATATAAAATACTGAATTGATTCATTGCATATTTCGGTTTCTAAGTTTGTATATGACTAGCCAGTTTATAAGTACTAGATAAAACATGAGCAGCCGATCTGTATCTGATATACAAACTCGACCCAAAGGCGAGTTTGAGTTCATTGGCGAAGTAATTTTAAAAATAAACATTGTCTATTAAAAGCCGAGAAAATTAAAGCTGAAGTTTTTTTAAATCAGGACAAATCTTTATCCAATTTACAAACATTGATTAAACATTCATTTCTTTTGTATTTTCCTCGTGAATTATTAATGAATTTTTTAAAGTTTAATAAAATCATAATTACAAAAGTCGCTCTGATATTGAACGTTCGGAAACTTAAAGTATATATTAAATATACATGCCGTCACGCAGTCGCGTCAAGTTTAAAACAAGTACTACCAGTGAATAATTTTATATACATTTAAGCCTTCGACCTATCGCGTACATTCGTTGGAAAAATATTCAATATTTTCTACTTCGACTGCTATTGATCAGAAAACTCGATCTGTTCACATTTATGGCCACAGCAAAAGACAGTGATAAAATAAAATAGAAAATGATAGAGTAGGTGGAGGGAATTTAGTCACTGCCTGAGCGATTTTAATTTAATTTAATTTAATTTAATTTAATTTAATTTAGCTTAATTTAATTTAATTTAATTTAATTTAATTTAATTTAATTTAATTTAATTTAATTTAATTTAATTTAATTTAATTTAATTTAATTTAATTTAATTTAATTTAATTTAATTTAATTTAATTTAATTTAATTTATTTAATTTAATTTAATTTAATTTAATTTAATTTAATTTAATTTAATTTAATTTAATTTAATTTCATTTCATTTCATTTCATTTCATTTCATTTCATTTCATTTCACTTCACTTCACTTCACTTCATTTCATTTCATTTCTTTTCATTTCATTTCATTTCATTTCATTTCAAGTTATATTGACATTCCCAAAATGGGTTTTTCAATATGTCATTTTACAGTTATTATGTGCAACTAAGAATATTTGCAAATTGTCTATTTTATATTAAAATTGTCAACTAATTACCGGTTACTAAGATTAAAATGTAAATTGTATATTTCCTTCTAAAAGTCCTGCTTTTAATTTAGATTTAAAATTGTTGATATAAACAAAATTATTTAAAATCCTCATCCAATGCGTTCTAGATTTTGGTTCCTCTGTATATGAATGTTCTTTTGCCTGTCGCAGTCCGATACTTTGGAATAGAGAGGTTAAGATACCCCGGTTTCAGTCTACGGGTACGAGTAGTGTCATCTTGTTTTACTGATGTCTGTAATTCGATCATACTTTTTCTGTTTTCTTGCAATAGACAATGATATAATGCGAAAAATGTGCACCTTAATTACGAGTAAAGCTACAGACATCGACGAAAATATTGCTAACCAAAATCATGCTACACTTGCACCGAAACTGGGTTATCTTAACCTCTCTAATGTCGAGTTCATTATTTTTTACTTCGTGTAGCGCGATCATGGATTTGATTTCTATTTATGAACTTGTGACTTAAGTACGGGGGTGCTTGATTATGTATGCATTTGTAAGTGAGGACAGCATCTCTGTATTGCAGATGCTCTCTCATTGCTAACCAACCGAGTTCCTTTAATAGTTTAGTTTTAATTTTTAGTTTTAACAGCTTTATTGAACGATGTCCAAACGGCACGAGTGCGAACGGGACTCGAGACCCATGCGAGGCACTCTCCCTCTAAGCTTGAATTTAGTTTACATCTAATTATAATATCATTATATTTACGACAATATTATAAATTGGTAAACATATACCAGCTGATTAATATCAAATTAGGACGGCTATTGCACCACATTCAAGTTATCATGCATATAATACAGATTGTATAATCATGTTAAAAATTTGAAAGCTGAATCAGGATAAAACAAAACCTGACACGAGGAGTTGGTATATGTTTACATCAGAACTAACTATTTCTATGGCATGAACAGCTACGATACAAAGACCACGCACAGCACGTACATGTCAACATCAAAACTACTACTTAATAAATTGAAGTATGTTCTTGATAAGAAGGATTTAAACGTTGCCAATCTGCGAAGATCACCAGGAGAAGCAATTTTGCAAGTATGATTCCAGAGTGGAACAATACGGTTAAAGAACGATGACTGAAAAGTGCTACTCAGTTTACATGACGGAACTTTAAGCATTAGAGAAGGATTATTACAATTACGGGTATACGTACGACAATGATTAACAAATGACACAAAATCGAAAACATCCAAATCATAAAAACCATGCAATATTTTAGACATAAATATTTGTCAAATCCTTAATTTCCCTGTCAAACGCCAGTGGTAAAAGATTCAGAGCAAGCCATCTGTCCTTGTAGGTCATGTCACCTTTCTTCGATTGAAGGATCCATTTTGTTGCACGCCTTTGGAGATATATAAAGGAGATACATGGTCATATTTACCGATATTTCCCGAAATAACCCTCGCCGCATAATTCTGAATTAGCTGGATTTTCTTGATGTTCTCTTCAGATGTATTGGACCATATTGATGAGCAGTAGGCCCTAGTTGATTTTACTCATAACTACAGTAGTGCGTTTATGATGGTGGTTAGTGTTGATTGGTCAAATAGATGCTTTACCAGGTTGATCTGACAAA